TATCTATAATGTCAAAAATAACAGGTAATTTGTTAGCTTGTATATATATATATATATATATATATATATATATAGCTTAAGATTTTGGTTTACGAAACACAAACAGTGCTCAATACCATATAGATAGAGCGTAATATAGTTTTTCGTTTTACCTCAAAAAACCACAACAGTCTGTTTCATCCGTATAGGAATCATTGCTACAGCCGTATAGGAATCATGAAACAGACTGTTGTGGTTTTTGAGGTAAAACGAAAAACTATATATATATATATATATATATATATATATATATATATATATATATATATATATATATATATATATATATATATATATATATATATATATATATATATATATATAATGTATATATATATAATGTATATATATACCGGGTGGCGCAAGAAAAAGTACAACTGTTTGATTACTTGTAACTCAGAAACAATAAGCAGTAGAACCATAAATCGAGTTTAATTGCATCCAGCGATATCTAACTTAAATTTTGGTATATTTGACAGGCATATTCGTCCAAGATTAACTGAGATATAAGAGTTTAAACTTTTGTTAACAATTTTGAAACGGTCACAAATTAGCTAAAAATCAGCTTAATAGGCCGTTTTTAGCTAATTTGTGACCGTTTCAAATTTGCTAACAAAAGTTTAAACACTCATATCTCAGTCAATCTTGGACGAAAATGCCTGTCGAGTATACCAAAATTTAAGTTAGACATCGCTGGATGCAATGAAACTCGATTTTGGGTTTTACTGCTTATGGTCTTTGAGCTATATGTAATCAAACAGTTATACTTTTTTTTGCGCCACCCGGTATATATATATATATATATATATATATATATATATATATATATATATATATATATATAGCTTAAGATTTTGGTTTACGAAACACAAACAGTGCTCAATACCATATAGATAGAGCGTAATATTGGTTTTCGTTTTTAGTTACAAAAAACTATATATATATATATATATATATATATATATATATATATATATATATATATATATATATATATATATATATATATATATATATATATATATATATATGTATATATGACAACTCCATTCTAATTGTGCCCCTAATTGTATAATTAGTTTTTTGTCCTTTGTTTATACTTCAGGGATTTATCTCCTCTTGTACCTTCCGACATTATAACATTAGATTATATTGTAAATGAAGAACTAATATCGAAGCTGGAGGGAAACGAAACAATATCTTTAAATTTTTCCAAGAAGCTGAAGAGCATCACAAAAAATCAAGTAAGTCAATGTTATATAATAGCATAAAGTCTTTTCATGCATATATTCATATCAACTTTGTGACGTACAGAAGTTCACATTGGAGCCGAACAAGCTAGGTTATACCAAGGGTTATAGTGATATCTACTAAAAATGATGTTTTTATTCCTGCCTCGTCATCAGTCGCTTTTCTTAGTCACTGATATAGGCTATGTACGCCACTAATATGTGCCAGGCATAAGAGATTGTGGAGGAGGCTGTTGTCATTTAATTCAATTGAAATCATTGACACTTTTTACCTGTATACTGTTCGCTTGTATTTCTATAGTGATTCATTCTCTCCACTGAGTACAGACATAGTTTCTATAACAACGTAAATTGGGGTCTTGGCCACTAACAACGTCTGCGCAGGAGGCTACGTAAATGTGATAAGGCGTGGCTATATATATATATATATATATATATATATATATATATATATATATATATATATATATATATATATATATATATATATATATATATATATATATATATATAGCTTAAGGTTTTGGTTTACGAAACACAAACAGTGCTCAATACCATATAGATAGAGCGTAATATAGTTTTTCGTTTTACCTCAAATAACCACAATATATATATATATATATATATATATATATATATATATATATATATATATATATATATATATATATATATATATATATATATATATATATATATATATATATATATATATATATGATTTCACGTCGTTATAGTTTCTTCATTTCCATATACGTTTCAGGTAAATTGCCTCTTTCTGGATGGTGATAAATGGAATACAACAGGAATGACAGTTGGTTCGATTGATGGAGAAAATATTGAATGCTTTACAAATCATTTATCAAGTTTTACAATGGTTGTACTTGATGCAGAGGTATATTGTGGTATTATAAAGAGATTTTATAAACATACATATTTACAATTATAATTCTATGGTTTCGTTATCTTTGTATACCTCTATTTTTTTCTTTAATTTGATAAAAAGTTATAACGACGCATGCAATATTTCAGAGCCATGAAAAAATTAGCTGTCGATATTTTTATTAAACAATAGTTTTCCAAAATCAGTAGCAATATATGCGACGTCGCTTTCTATATCATTTTATACACTGAGCAATAGGGTGTAGCTGCCTAATCCTGGAGGCATTTGGTAACTGAACAAATGTGGGGAAAATATTGAATAATTTGATAAATTATAATTTGTAGTTTTATATTTGTTTGAGCTAAGTCAATAATATTATACCTTTACGTATATATACGTTTATGATTCGATAAGTATTCAACTATATTTTATTATTTTAGGTTAGTCAATCCAATAAAGTAGCTTTGAACTACATCAGTTATATTGGATCTGCACTCTCACTGGCCGGTCTGCTCTTCACATGTATTATCTATATTGTTTTATAGTAAGTATATATATTGAAAACTGAAACTAGAATTCACCGCAATTATTACTTGCAATTATTACTTTAATTATTACTTGGGATATGGGTATAATTATGCAATATATACCATTCTTAAATTAACCTGTTGTAGGCAGCTGTATTTTTCATGCTCAGGTGCACCCGTTTGAAGTGTCATGACACTTCATAACACATATTTCATTTTTGATGGGTATTAATGGCTTTTCAATGTCTATAAATTTCAGCAAAGATCTTCAGATTTTAACGACCAGCCGTCACCTGGTACATTTCAACTTACAGATTGCTTTGGGATTGACACAGATTGTTTTTCTCGCCGGAGGAAATGCCACACAGAATGAGGTAAGTAATTTACATCGCCTTCTGCATAAAATGGCGGTTATGACACAATACACTCTTTTATGCTATTACAATATCGTCGTTTTCCAACTTGTGTGATCATTTGCATTAACTAAAAATATACCGTGTAGTAAAGATGAAAATTATTCTTGTGCACTTGAGTTCTTGTGTTGTGGGTCTGCCTCGTATTATTTATATTGTGAGCTCTTTGGTGTCACAACTTTCTTAAGGTCAACTATCACACTTCACAATTTCACAATATGTAAATAATGTAATGGAAAGATTGTAATTGTAAATTGTATGAAGAATGTGAATTTAATACAAATTGTTCTTATCCAATTTTTAAAGACAGCTTGTAAAGTTGTAGCAATCTTGGTCCATTATTTTTCTTTGGCTGGTTTCACATGGATTCTTCTTGAAGCTGTCATGCTGTATTTAAAATTGATTTCAGTGTATGGTGGAGAGTTTGTGAGAATGAAGAATTTCCTGCTATTTGGTTGGGGTATGTTTCATGTTTATAAAAATACTTTACGCATCACATCCTTATCTAGTCATTTAATATGTACTGTTTAATAAACGAGCAGGAGTGTTTTATTAGGTTTAAAGCCACGAGCGCGCAGCGCGAGTGGCTTTAGACCTACTAAAATACGACCTGCGAGTTTATTAAACTGCTTCAAACACGACCACAAATTCAATAGATATACTGCCTTATTAGTATTCTTTATGTAAAGAATACTAATTAGGAGTGTTTTATCACGTTTAAAGCCACTGCACGTGACATATTATGGTTGACATGATTTGCCAATAAGCTTATGAATTATTAATGAGTGTTTGAAGATCTGATAAAACACGCACTGCGAATGTTTTAAATTGCTTCAAAAACGATCGATCTAGTAAGTTCATTGGCGGAAAGTCAGTGTATTATAACGTTTATCACATATAAAGATACGACACACTTATGATGTTTCTTTGTGTTTTCCTCATAAATTATTAGTGAGTTTTTGAAGATTCTTTAGAAAGCTGTAACCTTGCAAATGTTAGCGTATACCAATGTGTGAACACGAAAACCTTCGTAAACTGAACTCCCAAGAATACAAATCCATATTCTTAAACGCAATAGGATTTAGAAAACTCGATGTATCTCCACATAGGAATTGAGAAAGCAAAGAGGCGCCGATGAAGGAGGAAAATGCGAGTGCAAAGTAGAAAATCCTTATAGTTAATTTCCGCCAACATGGCAGATTCAGTGTGTTTGCACATTGAAAGTATTGATATAAAGAGGTCATGCAGTAAGAAAAAATCATTTTTATACCTTTGTTAATACATTTATACCTATAGATATATGTGAACACTTTAGATAACGAATATCTAATGTTTTAAAGTTTGTTCGTTCACTGCAACCAGGTATATCAATCATGTTTCGCTCGCTACTCTGGTTTAAATAAATGATTACAAAGCCCAGTCGAATTGTAATCAAGACCCACCGTTTCGACACTCCAGTCTAGTGTCTCAAGTTCATCAGGGGTGATCTAAAATTGCAATCGTGGCTTCTTAAATACCCAAGGGATGACGTCACCTGCCAATGAGATGCATATATTCCTCTGGCAAATAGGCACCGTCATCTCTATTCAAAGCATGATTACTCATATTTATATGCCACGCTTCTAGGCAAAGTCTTTGACTATAGCGATTGTTTGTGGTAAAACTCTAAAGTAATTACCGCAAACAAACGCTATGGTCAAAGACTTTGCCTAGAAGCGTGGCATATAAATATGAGTAATCATGCTTTGAATAGAGATGACGTTGCCTATTTGCCAGAGGAATATATGCATCTCATTAGCAGGTGACGTCATCCCTTGGGCATTTAAGATTGCAATTTTAGATCACCCCTGATGAACTTGAGACACTAGACTGGAGTGTCGAAACGTTGGGTCTTGATTACAATTCAACTGGGCTTTGTAATCATTTATTTAAACCAGAGTAGCGAGCGAAACATGAATATCTAATGTGTTTGCAAAACAGTGGAGGACTCTAAGGTGGCGAGGTCTGAGAGGAGAGAGCTAGGTGGCAATCGCGAAGTGTCCGCCACTAAAACAAAATGAGGACGATATGGATTGGACGAATTTCCCGACTATATGTATATATACTGTTGTTCCATAGTTGTTAAATAGGCTACAAATAATTCTAATAGAATCAATCATTGTTATTCATATATTTCAGATAATTTGCTTTACGTACGTAACAATGGATTTCAATCAAATGTTGTCTCCAATGAAAATATTATTAAGCACATGCATATACTGTAGGAAAAATTGGCGCCGTGAGGACAATCATGCATGCACTATTATTTTACTCTTAAGGCCTGATTCCACGAGGCGGAATTTTTCAACCGAAACGAAATTTCTCTTTGTCTTTTTACAATTAGTTCTGCTCGAAAGCTCATGAAACAAAGAGAAATTTCGATTCGGTCGCAAAATTTCGCCTAGTGGAAAACCGCCTTTATGGTGCACATTGCTATATAACTTTGCCCACCGACTGTTTGTGATTTTAATTGAATGATATAACTTACACTTCTAATTATAGTGGTTTATCGCTTTAAAAAGTAATTTTTCTAATAACTAATCTTTTTGAAAAATATACAGGATTCCCTTTGCTGTTAGTTGGTTTATCTGCTGGAGTAAAGATTGATGGTTATGGTACTGATCAATGGTAACTGAAATTTGAACTTCAATTTTTCCTCACATTAAATCATGGTATATTTGAGCATTTCATCATTAAAAGACAATGGCAACTAAAAATTTATTGTTGAGGCTATAAATTTGCGGCAAAATAATTTGCTTAAAAAAGCAAATTATTTTGCCGCAAATTTATACCCTCGACAATAAAAACCATAAAATATTTTAGAAATACGACGTTCGACTTTTTATATAGCTATGACCCTCGACTTTTTGACATGACCCTCGAATTTTTATATAACCCTCGACTTTTTATATACGTTTTTCGACCCTCGATTTCCCACCCTCGACAAGAACCTAAACTCCTTCAATTGAATTACTAAAAATAGCTAACGTAATCAAACCATATTTATCAAACACACAAAGAAACTAGTTATTTCTAAAGAAATATACTGTTTATAGTTGTGTCATATAGTTGTGTCATAATAGTTAATTATCAACACTATTACAATGCATGGCAGTAAGTTCATAAGACACTATAACTCATAAGTTGTTATGTTGATATTTTGTTTATATATAGATTGATTATTGAATATTGTCTTATTAAATTTGTAAGCCAGTATATAACGCTGTATAAGTTTGTTATTATCAAACGTTTACCGATTATTTTAAGCATCTTCTTAGTAATGATTTTACATTAAGACCAAGATAATGCAGCTGTTGAGAGCGATTTTTCAGTTTTTTCATACTCCATAATTAAAACATTAAACTGTGTAATAGACCTAATAGTGTTGGGTAAAGCAATCTCGTTATATATATATATTTAATATGCGCTTTTGTCTAATTCAAGCGTGGTAGACAATATTGCCAATTGCCTCGCGAATCGAAGAGTTTCAGATTTGTCGAATAGATTTGTGCGTTGTTTGTACTTCAATTTTGGCCACGAGGCACAAAGGGAGACTTGAAGAACACGAGTGACGAGTGTTAACACAATTTAACTATACGTACAGTGTTGAAATTTAAAAATACTGTATATATCTCCCAAACATAGTCGTTGATATTAATGATAGGCTAACGAACCAAGCCATTTGTCGATCAGAACTAGCTTTGAAATAACGGCAACCGCTACTAAACACAGTCTCTATTTTCTATTTGTATTATGAACTGTGGTCAATGTATGAAAACGAGTGTATGAGAATCGCTCCATTTGATAATATTTACTGTAAATACAACAAAATACATTGCTCCGATCTACTAGTAATACGAATGGCGGCTATTTTTAGATATTTTGTAATTTTTGTTGTGCGTTGTGCACGGTGCACTGTGGAAGTGCACATGCACTTAGACGTGTCGCCTAAGAAAAAAGATCTGACATTTTAATACTCCGGTAATTACAGTACCCGGAGTAATGAGGTTAACAACCAGTTTACCCACAGGGTAGTGAATGCTGCCTTGGTATAGCATTGTTCCCAAATCTTTAAATGAGATTTTTTGTATGTTACGTAACACGCGCTCAAAACTAATGCGCATAATATACCACATGAGATTATTACTAAAATCAAAATTTTTATTTTTCGATACGTTTTTCAATCGGTAAAAAAAAACCCTTAAAAAGTATGTTTATAGTGCTTTATCTGTAAAATAATGCTAAAATGAAGAGATTTTAGATGATACGCCAAAGAGAAAATGATGTCTGAAGTTCAGTACGTTTTGCTTAAATG